TTGGGTAAAAGTACAGATGGTGGTCGAGTTGCGCACACACACACATACACATACACACAAACACACACACACACACACACACACACACACACGCTCGCGCCGGGGACGCGTAATAGACGGGAATTTGTAGAAATTCCTAGGGGGTGGGGGTGTCGCTTTCTCTCGGGGTGGGAGGGGTGGGAGGGGCGGCGAGAGGATCGTGTGCGGAATTCTTCGAATTATCCGACGCGCTGACGGGAAATTCGGCAGACGAAAAGGTGCTCGCGTCGTCCTTCGCGTTAATCCCGCGCGGGATCCGCCTCGGCTCGTTCGCAATAATCAACGGATCCCGCCCGCGGCGCGACAATTCGACGAGGCACGCGAGTCGTGGCGCGAAGCCGCGTGAAAAATTCACGGGGATCGGCGCAACTCGAAGCTGAAGAGGGTCCGTGGGAATTAATAGTCTGCGAAAATTACCAAAGTTCGTACACGGGAGCGACGCGCGGTGGTATTTACTAGCGCCGTTCACATAGGGGTTGCGAATTGCGAAGGGAGGAACGGACGGAGAGCGCGCGCAAAAGAGAGAGAAAGAGAGAGAGAGAGAGAGAGAGAGAGAGAGAGAGAGAGAGAGTCCATTCACGCATTCGCTGGCATAATACGGGAACCGGTGGGAAACACTCGGATAAAAGATCAGCCGACTCCGGGCGGCGGTATACCGAGCGGGGCGGCGGAGGGTGGAGGCGGCGGAGACCGAGCGTGTGCATCTCTCCGGAGGAAAAGAGCGCCCTGAAAAATTCGATACCGATGCGCGCGCTCTCGATATTCGAGCATACGGGCGGCGTATAGGACACGGAGGACATGGATTACGAGGGACGACGAGTATAGCCGGATGCGCCTCGACAATCTCACGTGTGTCCCGGCGGGCGTGTTCAAAAATCTCATGAACGTTTTTCAGATAAATGGCGGGAGATCGCGAGCCCCGAGCCGGCTCCAGATTGGCGCACCCTGCGCGAGCCTTGACTCCTTGCGCCGGCATTTATCCGACAAGCTCGTAGATGCGTAGACGCGTCCCTTCAGAATTTCTTCTTTTTCTTTCGCTTTTTCTTTTGCTGCACGAGGTAATTTTGCGCGGGTGAATAGCTGATTGCGATCGGATCGAGGCGCGAGTTGGCGCGAAGACGTGGCGGTGGCTGGTGGAGGTACACGCACGGCTGCTGCGAAGGGTTGATGAAGGGCGAAAGCCAGTCGCCGAAAATATTCGACTCACGCGGGAGCCGGACGGGATTCTCGTCCGGGATGCGGGATCGCTACGGGATCTCGAAAGTTTCGTGTGACGTAAATACGGGGAGGTGTCCGGAATTGTCCGAGCCGGCAGTTTTCGGCTTCTGCCTGAGCAGCCGCGATTTTCGGGCTATTTACAAGCGCGCGCGATTCCATGATTTTCCATGGTGCTTTTATTCGCTCGAGTCGCGCTACGATTATTCGGATCGCATTTTCGCGTACTGCCGCCTGTCGCCGGTACGCGCATGGGGGCTCCCCTTAGATTTAGCGCATTTAAGCCCTGTTCCCGACGGGTTCGTTCCACTGAAACAACATAATCTTACACGAGACGTCATTACTCGTCTCGTCTCGTCGGACTGAGCCGTGTTATTTGATCGAAAAAGAGAGCACTATTGTTTCACACACACACATACGCGTTCACATGGCGTGTTTTCCCGAACTAATTTATTGTTCGATGAGCTGTCGTTATATAATGTTTGGCTAAAAGTCCGAGAGCAATCACCGCGTCGGCAATGCACGCTCTATCAATATCCGTCGCGTATCGACTGTCACCGCATTGTTCGCAGCGTTTGTCAGCGAGCGGGAAACGTTACAATATTTTTCGAACACTATAAGGGCGCGGCGTAGCGCGCGAGAGAGCCGCAAGGATATCGCTATTGCCAGAGCTCATTGGCCGAGCAGCCAATTGCTGCTCGGTCATAGAGATTAGGCAATATGGGTTACGGTTAATAACCGGATGGCTAACCATGGATCGATAGAGGAAACCGCGGAAGCAGGAGGGGGAGGGGGAGGGGAATGAGAGAAGCTTCACGTATAAAATGGGAAGACAGCAATGACGCGGAAAATGAACGACGCGGATTTTTGTTCGTTCGCTCGTATATCCGAGCGGGACGACCGAGCAAAGTAAGACGAGAGCAGACGGGACGATCCTCTCCCGTGGCGAAGCGCGACGAAATTATTCAGGAAAACCAACGAGCGTGCTTATCAAGCGTCCACAAAGCCCGGGCCAGTATTCATTCGAATTCGACGAAAGCCTCCGATTGCGACGCCCTCCGCCCAGAATATTCGCTCCGTCCACGACTCGCGCAAGACTCCTAAAGAATATCCGCGGGGATATTTTTGCCCGTAGTCGGCCGGCTAATTAGAAATTTGTCGCAACACGCTGCACGTGCGAGTCGCGAGAACGCGAGCGTCGGCCAGCCGTCGCGGCCGAGCGAATGGCCGCGGCGATGCGCCGCGATATTCGCGCCGCTGAAATTAACGGAGCCGCCGGCGCGGCGCGACGCATCGATGGTAAGATTCGCGCTAATGACATCGCCGCACACGTGAGCGCGCGCACTCGATGCACTTTAATATCGCGATTCGCCATCGGCCATGAGCGCCGCTCGACGAACGACGCTCGCTCGCTCGCATTCGCGTTATACGGCCGCGGCAGGCCGGGCGATAAATCCCCAGGTCCAATGCTCCGCTTGCCGTTTGTTTATTTCACGCGTGCGGTATTCACAGCGGCTCTGCCTTTGTAAGACGCGGTTTATGTCGCGTGTCATAACCGGTCCGAGCGACGGGATATATTCCTATGGTCGGCTGGCCGGTCGGTCGGCTGGCTGGCCGGCCGCCGCAGGCTCGGCCTCCCAGCAATTCTCCGCAGCCGCCTAATGCGAATGCGCTGTTTCTAATTTAATATCTTAAGGGCGCCGGCGTTAGCCGCGTCAGCCTCGTCGGATTACGACGTCAGACGCGACGTGGTTACAGCGAGCACAATTCTCTCGGCCGCCCGCGAGGATATTTTTACGCGCCGCCGGCCGGCTCCTTTGCCGGACGTCGCCTCTTATGCCTCTGGCATACTCGGAGTATCCAGTTTGTAGAATTAGCGGATTCAATCATGTCATGATTGATATATTTGATGCGCTGTGCAGGGAGCGTCGACGAAAGTCGCACCGGAGTCGAGGCAAGCCGACTCGATTTCAGGGTCGTGTACGGGGCGAGTTCGCTCGCAGCGCATTTAATTTCTGTTAGCTCGGATTTTTCTCCACCGAAATTCTCGCGTTCCCGCTGGTCGATCCCCGATTTGCGCGGAACGAGCTGTAGGTATCAGGATCGTCGTGAAACGATCGTGAAGCTGACTACTCGATACGTTGTTGCTCGTACTTGTCATCTCATTTACCTGGCTCTTTAATTTTACGTTGGATCGACCTTTTATAACCGAAAAAGCATTTGCGTCACACATATACAACTACGTTTTGAGTTTCGACGACAAAATATTGTGATTTAAATTCCTACGACAGACTGTCAATTTGACTTGACTTTTCCTCGTCTGCAGTTTGTGCGACAAATTTTGCGTGACTCGAACGCTGGAACATTTTTGCCCGATTCTTTTTCTTTTTTTTAATGCATGGACCACGTTGAGGGCTGGTGGGATTTTCGCGAAGTCAAAAGGTCGTTTGTTTCGTATAATCATAGTGAGTGGAAACCGTTCGAGTCTTCATAAAAATATTTTCGAGCGAAATTATATCCGGAAAGTAAAGTGACAAGCTTATATCGCTCGTGGACGTGTGACTTTTATATATAGAGTTAATTCTTTCGCACTGGAAGTTCCAAGTTGCAGTTCAACATTCACTCTCGCGAGTTTCGAGTGACAGCGTTTCCGTTATCGCGCTGGGTCAATTTCATTTATTATTGCGAGAGTTATCTCCAAGAAAAACTTGGGGATTATATGCATAAATATATTCAGTTGTCGGCGCTAAGTGATTGACATCCTTAGAATCCTATTATGAATCAGAATCGTCATAGAGAACAATTTGACAGGACGCACAAAGAGAGCTCGTATAAGTTTAATCCCGCTAAAAGTTCGGAAATTACGGAACGGGACCACGTCCATTGGAAGGAGAGTGATACAATGTTGCTTGAAAAATTTACGTCGAACCCCCTCGATATCCTCTTCTCAATACCTAATACGGGCCTGCGGCGCTTTTTTTTTGTATTTTCGCGCAAGTCATAAATATGTCCCGCCGAGGAGACGGTAGGCGTCGTTACGCGGTGGAACGCTAAGAGAGAGATACACTTTCTCCGTCGAGTGTTGAATAAATGATCGCGTCAAAGTGATCCCTCATATTGCCGACGTGTTCCGCTTCGTTGCATATTAATGCGAACCCCTTTTTCCCTCCCCCGCCTTGTGTTTCATTATTGCTTTACAAAGTGCCGGCGTGTATCGATGTGTCGATAAAAAAGGCCTTCTCACCGCTGTAATCGTGTCGCTTTAAATTCCCCCATGAATAAATAATCGCATTTTCTCCGCGGAAAAGAAGGCGGAGAGAGAGAGAGAGAGAGAGAGAGAGAGAGAGAGGGAGAGAGAGAGAGAAAGAGGGAGAGAAATTAGATATATGATCCGGCAATTTCTTAATTATTAGAATTGTAAACTCGCGCCGAGAGGCGGGGAACTTTATTTCCCTCGAAAAAGAGGAGGAAAAAGTCGCGTGTGGAAAAGTACGTTCTCGTATACTTCTCTCTCTCTCTCTCTCTCTCTCTCTCTCTCTCTCTCTTCCGTTCTTGTTCCGCGCGCACACATGCACACATGTTTTAACGCACAACACTTACAGTCTTTCGCGGCGTTGTAGAACTAGACGGAATTTTCAACGGAGCGTCGCGCAGTTTTGCCGAGATTACGGCGACGTTTAATCTTGCGCGATCTCCTCAATGAACTCCGTGCGCGATATACGGCGAAATAATGAAGGGTCACTCACCGAGAATCTGGCTGAGCACGGTGCGGCCGTCTTCGCCGAGGCACGCACTGCGCGCGTCGAACGGGTTAGTGAACTGCACGAACGCATAGCCCTTGTGCATGGAGATACCTGTCGATAAAAAATGCAAGAAACTCGATTAACATTTCGCAGGGAGGTGGCTCTCATCGCCGGAAGCTTGAAAGCTGTTACACCCGCCGTTTTCGACCGACACGCGACCGACTCTCCGATCATAATTACAACATTGGGATTTTGATATAAAAAAATCACTTTCGCCGTTATCCGCACAGCTCAACGATATTACAGTTTATAAATGATATGATTATAGTCCACGCACAAATAATTAGTGGGTGCATCGAAGAGAGCAAGCGGAAATAGGAGATGCGTATTTTCCTCGGCTTGCGCTCGCTCGCACGTTTAGGGAACTGAAAGAATTTCCTCGTAGGAATACGTCGCGTACGAACCCATTCAGAATATCGAAGGTCTGTCGAAAATAGTTTATTCAGATCAAAAGAAACAATCGAAATGAAGGGAAATTTTACGGTCCGGGCTTATTCGGAGAGATTACGATTTTTCGAAAGGCCGCGTGAATGTCCGACAGAAAACGCACGCGGCGCCGCGACATCTTCCATCGCAGGCTGACCACCTCCTCTCCCTTCTCTTTTTGTGCTTTTCTCCTTCTTTCCTTCCACGGCAGACTTTGTCGCGCACAAATACGCGAAAGTGTTTAATAGAATAAACCTCGGTCGCGCGCGAGGGAGTGCAAAAATTTCCAAATTAAATAACGAAATTTCCAAACGATTAAATACAACTCGAGGGGAGAGAATATTAAACATTTTTGCAAACCAAATTTATAAAAACAAAAGCGCATTGTTGCCGGCCGATTTCGCCCGCGCGGCAAGTCGCACGCGGACGCGACCTGTAATCTGTGTACCCGTAATAACTTTTGCGTGGTTAGCAGCTGACCATGCATGGAATTCATTATGCCGAAACAAATATGTAAATCCGACCTCTACACGCGCAACCCCGGGACTCCCCCCTCCTGCACGCATACGCGCGCACGCGTCTACGCGCAGGCATGTGTGCGCGTTTCGGAATGCAAATACGCGCTGCACGCGCGCGCGCGCGCGCGAGCCCGCTTCGCTGCTGACGCGCGGCTGTACCGTCGAGCGAGATGTTCATAGTTTTCACCGTTGCCGTTGTTATCGGCTCATTCTTCAATGGAACCTCCTTCCCCGCGCGGCTGTCGGCCGCCGGGGAGCAAAGGGATTTTGAAAGCAATTGGATTTCCACCGACTAATGTAACAGAGCGACGAATTAGATCTCTTGGACAGTAGCACGTTCGTGGCCCTTTGCGTTTCTCTTTCTCCCCCTCTCCCTTCCCCTCCCCCCACCCCCCACCCGAAATACGAGGCAGAACGAGCCTACGCTGAATTTTCAAATCATCGTTCCTTCATTTTGTCCTCTTTTTTTTTTTTCGCCGGAATACGAGAGCGAAATGGGGAGGAAAAATATAACTCGAGAAGATAAAAAAATATTTATTTGTTCAATAACATATTCGCTTGAATCCGAATTCTTTTATTCGGGCAAAATGGGCAATTGCTTTTTCACGAAATGCTGCGATCCTCGAAACAAGTAATTTGCTCACTTTGAAAGTAAATTCTTTTCAGGAGATAAATGTGTACGTTGCCGCGGATGAATGCGTTACCAATATGCGGACCGTTACTAGACCGGACAGCTATTTTCTATTTTTTTAATTTACTGCTCTAGAACTTGATGATAATACTTGTTAATAATAAGCATATTTTTTTTCTTCCGATGTGAGGCTAAGAACGGATATTTCTGTTTCCTTCGACGCTCCTTTTTATCCTTTCCCTTCCCCGCGGCGTATTGCGACAATGAAAACGCGCCTGCGCCTGCGATGAATCAAGCTGGTGCAAAGGAGCTGTTATTTTTCTATGAAAATCTCGTAGGAAGTTCGCCTACCAAATGGAAAAAAACAAATAAACGTTCTCGCTGGATGTCTAAAAAATACCGAGTCAGTGTGGCGCGTTTTACTCGTAAAAATGCCGGATCCTTCGAAATTGAATAATTTCGTTTCTCGAACGGGCCGCGCGCCCGTTCGAGAAAGGAATTCGGCAATGGACGCTCCGCTCGTCGTCCTCGAAATTTCTCCAACAATTAGCTCGGAAACTTGACACCGGTCTTCGATTACCGAGATATATACCGTCGCGGTGTCTCTCGGTGTCTTTCTTGTCCGGCCGAGAGCGAACGGGTCGCTCGCAGGATCCGCGCTGAAGGGAGAAAACACGCGGTGCTTTTCGCGTCACGTCGCGGATGCGTCCTCATTCGGCGGGCGTTGTCAATCGACCGGCGTGATTCATCGAAAAAATTGCATCTCCCACGTGCTCCCGAAATGGTGTAATTGTGATCCGAAGTGGCGTCTCGTCGATATAGTCGGTTTCCAGCGAACATCCCGAAAATAACCGGCCGCCCGGTTATTTCGAATATTACCCGAAGCGCCGGCGCTGTAAACTCAATCCGGCTGGCCGGCTAATATCTCCATTGATGTGTTTTTTTCCTTTTTTATTTTGTTTCCGGTATTTTTCTACGGGCGATTGTAAAATCACGGGCGACCGGCCGGCAACTTTGACCCGCATCCATAAAAACCTTGGTCGAAAATACACCTCAAATTAGGTATGCCGAGCTGTATCCTGTAGTAGATGGCAAGCCGGAAAACAACCACGTGCGACCGCGCTAAGAAAATAAATATGGCGACAAAATGGACCGGACCGCGAAACAACGGTCGGCAGAGACCTTCGAAATATCGGCCAATCTTGGCGATCTCGCAAACTCGTCCCCTTCCTCCCCTCGTCGATCCCGCGATCCTGCGATTTTCTCCTGCGATTTTCCCCCCTTCTTCTGCTCCGCCCGCTCCGTCCCGGAACCGCGGACTCTATCGATCTAGTATCGCGTATCTTCGCCAATTTTTCTCGCCGGCGGCGAGAGTGAAATTTATCACGACGTATCGCGGGCCGATCCCGTCGATCTCCCGAAACATTTAGCGCTTCGGAACTCGACTCTCCCGATACATAAAGCACTACATCATCCCCATATCTCAGAGCTTAATCCCCCGGGCCCCTTCCGACCCCCAGCACCCACCCCCCATCATTCTGCGACGGAACGGCGCGGCCCGGTCGGAAGGAGATCGTCGTGTCGATCGTATCGATCCTCGATCCTCGTAACGTAACTCTCCCGTTCTCGTCGTCGTCGTCGTCGTCTTCGTCGTCGCCGTCGCCTTCGTCGTCGTCGTCGTCGTCGACTCGTCGTAACGTTTATTCCGGAATTTAAATCGCTGTCTGCGCGCTTGTCATACGTTAAGAGGAGGGTCCGACGGGGCGGCGGCGGGGGACAGGGGTGTATGTGTGCATTTGTGCATGACCCGGGTGTGCAGGAGTTCGATATCGAACGCTGCGGGAGATCGTTTCGCGGCGGAATTTATTCTAGCCGTAAAAACCGCGATAGCGAAAATGCGCGACCGGTAAGTGCGAGGAGTATACGTGCGGATGGTTGATACGACGCCCAGTTCGGTCGCTGTTATTATTCCTTCTCCCCCTCTCTTTCTCTGCCTTTTTTCTCTCTTACGCACACGCACACTCTCTCTCTCTCTCTCTCTCCCTCTCTCTGTCTCTCTTTGCGCTGCCAACGCCTGTTACTCTTCCGCCGCGACCGCGGGATTCCTCGATTTGCGCAATTATTTCATCTGATAACCGCGTCATACTCGAGGTTCGCGCGAGGGAACAGCCCGAGAGGACTTCGCCACGCTCGCTCGCGTTCTCTTTCGAGTCTTTCGAGAGAGGGCGGGCGCGCGAATAAATTCAATCGCGCGCGGGGCAAGAGCGAATGTGACGGCCGAAAACGAAAAATGGGAATCGAAGCTCGATTCGATAGAGGGTCCTTCGCGACTAATAAACAAGCCCCGTTCTTTATAACAATTATTTGTATGTTCCGTAACTGAGTTTTGTTTTCTCCCTCCCGCCCCTCTCTCTCTCTCTCTCTCTCTCTCTCTCTCTCTCTCTGTCCATCTATCTTCCCCGCCGTCTCTCTCCCTTTTTGCAAAGTGACGAGCGCGTGGCCCGATAACGGCGGCGTCGCGTTGAGGGCCGCGTTGCAGTGAATTTTTCCAATGTTTCCGGCATTTGTGTAGAACAAATATCGACTTTGTATTGGAAAACTTGTCGCCAGAGAGAGGAACTCTCTTTCTCTCTTCTCCCCCCCCTCTCTCTCTCTCTCTCTCTCTCTCTCTCTCTCTCTCTGTCTCTATCTCTCTTGTGTTGTTGTTATCTGGGCATTCGACAGTACAGATTTAAATCATCCCGCCGACGATTTCTTCCGATACACAGTCTCGCATACAGAGTGTCCCGGAAATATCGCCGGTTCGTTCCGTTTAGAGCCTTCGGACAACTGGAAATCGAGTTCTCCTCGGCGGCACGGCCGGAGATCGATCGGCCGCGCGCGCTCGTTCGTCGTCTTGTTTTCCTCTCGCGATTTCTTCCCGCGCGTCATCCGTCTTTCTCGTTAATTATCGACGAGCGAGTATCGGGATGTCGGTCGAAGGAATCCGATGATATTCGGTTCCTCGCACAAATCACCAGTAGTCAGTTCTCATTGCGTGCAACGGGAGCAAATTATTCGTCCGGGGTGTCCAGCTCTCCGGCATGCCAGATATTCCTTGCGCGTTGATTCCTCTCTGAAGTCTTCTATCGAGGAAGGTCGGAATGCCGACGTTCGGCTGACGATTTGACAGGCGGTTCGTGAGGACATTTTGCAATCGGTATCTCGCGCGAGAGCTCCTGGGACGGGACCGGCTCTCTCTCTTCTCTCTTCTTCTCCCTCTCCTCTCTCTCCTCTCTGTCTCTCTCTCTCGGGATCCACTGTCGATTTCGATCCGTCGAATTTGTAATTTGTCCGTTATCGCGCGCGGAACACGCCGGCCGCGTGGCGCCGCGAGGACGACGACGAGGACGTGGCTTATCCTTCGTATCGGCGTCCCGCTAATCCGTCGAGCGCCTTAATTCCGGCGACAGCGAGAAGTCCGCCTTATTGTCTTC